AAAAAAAAAAAAAAAAAAAAAAAAAAAAAAAGCACAAACATGGATGGCCTCAAAAATATTATGTTCAGTAAGTGAAGCCAAATACAAAAGAACACATATTGACACATAAGAATCCATTTATACGAAATGTCTACAAAAGTATATAGAGCAGAAAGGAGATTCGTGGTTGCCTAGGGCTAAAGGTAGGAATGGGAATGAGGTTTCTTTTTAGAGGGATATAGATGTTCTAAAATTATGTGGTAGTGATAGTTATGGTAACGGTTTGATCATTGTAAATATACTAAATTCACTAACATATAATGACTTTTATATGTTGATTATAAGCTATGAGTAAATTTTATGGTATATAAATATATCTTGATAAAACTGTTTTAAAAAAGATGCAAGGTACTTTTAACATCTTTAAAAATACAGAAACTACTACCAACTAAATGAATATAACATCATCAAATTCATAATCAATTAAAACACCACAACCGCCCCCCTACCCCCAAATCCCTTATTTCTTTCCTATTTTGTTAATAGCATTATAATTTTTTCAGTTATAAAGACTACAAACTTGTAATATAGGATTTCTCCATCTTTTTTATTTTCTACCCTCACCAATAATCTGTCACCAAGACCTGCTGATCCTACCTTTATAAACTACTTTTTTAACCCATTCCTCTACTTTCTCCCTTAATTGAGAATACAGAATGCTCCTTCCTTCCATTAGCAGATAAAAGCAATTTTGTCCATACTTAGTGTGATGAAAAGGGAGAAAATGATTCAATAAGCCCTGGGTATACCAATTTTCTGTATCACTCTATCTTCTTATTTCAGCATCCCTATGTACTACTACCTGAAGTCTAGAAACAAAGGGCTTTGGCCCATATGATATTGGCACAAAATTCCTTGGTCAGGTAACCTTTGGTTGAGGTTTCAAAGTACATACTTCTAAATCTGCCAAAGGACACATGAGCTGAGTTGTATCACATAACTGAATGCATCTTTAGCAGGATCGAGTTGTTTAAGCCCCTGAATTTTAAAGGAAATTCTAAATAAACTCTCGTTACAAATAAATATATTTGTAGTAACTATACATATTCTTTGCCCATTTCTTATACGGACTTGTTCAAAATAACTTTTTCCCACTAAAAACATTTTTTTTTCTCTTTGACACTTTAGAATTTCTTAAATCATAGAATATGGTTTAATCAAGAGGAACACAATTCTGATGAACATAGTGAGTTTATTGACAGTTAATGCAACCTAAAACAGGCTGAGATTTAACAAGTTTGTACTAGCTTAAAACAAACATTGCTCATTATCCTATTACTACTAAAATTAATTCATGAAGGCCCAATGGGGAGCTGAGCCTCCAACCAGGCGAAACAAGGCACTGGGACATACTACTCAAATGCAGATAGAATGGATTAAAAAATAAGACACAACAATATGCTGTCTACAAAAGAAACATCTTAGATTTAAATTCATAAATAGGTTGAAGGTAAAAGAATGGGGAAAAACAGACCATGCAAAAGTAACTACAAGGGCTGTAGTGACTGCTGTTAGAAAATAGACTTTAAGATTAAAAAAAAATTATTAGAAACAAAAAGGAACATTTCAATACATCAGGAAGATACAATGTTGTAAATTTAAACATACCTAACAAAAGCAGTAGAACCGAAAAAAAAATAAACAATTCATAAATTTTGTTTTGGGGCTTCAATAGCCAACTCTTAATAACTAAAAAAAGAACTACATGGAGAATCAGAAAAAATACAGAACACTTCAGCAACATTATCAACCAACTTTACCTAACCATTTACGGGACATTCCATCCAACAATAACAGAAAACACATTCTTTTTTTTTTTTTGAGACGGAGTTTTGCTCTTGTTACCCAGGCTGGAATACAATGGTGCGATCTTGGCTCACTGCAACCTCCGTCTCTTGGGTTCAGGCAATTCTCCTGCCTCAGCCTCCTGAGTAGCTGGAATTACAGGCATGTGCCACCAAGCCCAGCTAATTTTTTTTTGTATTTTTAGTAGAGACGGGGTTTCACCATGTTGACCAGGATGGTCTCGATCTCTTGGCCTCGTGATCCATCCGCCTCGGCCTCCCAAAGTGCTGGGATTACAGGCTTGAGCCATCGCGCCCGGCCAACACATTCTTTTTAGTTGCACATGGAACATTCTCCAGGATAGACCATTGGCTAGGACATAAAACAAGTCTTCCTGAATTTTTAAAAACTGAAATTCTTTAAAGTATGGTTTCTGACCACAATGCAATTAAATTAAAAATCAGCAACAAGCCAGAACAACCAGGCAAGAAAAAGAAATAAAGGGTATTCAAATAGGAAAGGAGGAAGTCAAATTGTCTCTATTTGCAGATGACATGATTGTATATCTAGAAGACCCCATCGTCTCAGCCCCAAATCTCCTGAAACTGATAAGCAACTTCAGCAAAGTCTCAGGATACAAAATCAATGTGCAAAAATCACAAGCATTCCTATACACTAATAACAGACTTAAAGAGAGCCACATCAAGAACGAACTGCCATTCACAATTGCTACAAAGAGAATAAAATACCTGGGAATACAACCAACAAAGAATGTAAAGGGCCTCTTCAAGGAGAACTACAAACCACTGCTCAATGAAATAAGAGAGGACACAAACAGATGGAGAAACATTCCATGTTCATGGTTAGGAAGAATCAATATCGTGAAAATGGCCACACTGCCTGAAGTAATTTACAGATTCAATGCTGTCCCCATCAAGCTACTAATGACCTTCTTCACAGAACTGGAAAAAACCACCTTAAACTTCATAAGGAACCAAAAGAGAACCCGCATAGCCAAGTCAATTCTAAGCAAANAAAAAAAAAAAAAAAAAAACAAAGGAGGCATCACACTACCGGGCTTCAAACTATACTACAAGGCTACAGTAATCAAAACAGCATGATACTTACTGGTATCAAAACAGAGATATAGACCAATGGAACAGGACAGAGGCCTTGGAGGCAACACCATACATCTACAACCATCTGACCTTTGACAAACCTGACAAAAACAAGCAACGGGGAAAGGAGTCCCT